TGTCTTTAATTTTGTAGAGTTGTGTTCAATTTACTTTAAACTCCTCGATTTCATTGTAGAACTGTTCGGATAAGAAAGCGACACAAAGGCCGATGAATATTTTAGAAGCTGCACGGCTTGCCATAGGCGCATGTAATCTGCTTTTAATATAACTCAGCGGATTCAATAATCTGACAAAAATTAAAGTCTAGCACCGGGAAGGGAAGGAAGGGACTCAATTAACAGTTACAGCTAGAGAAAACAGCAAAAAAGCTTCCATCTCCGAATGCAGAAACAGCAAGGAACACAATGTTTTCTCCTCAACACAAACTTCAAGACGCACAGCTATTCTAAGCATTGCTTCGTTTCCATTCTCCAAATGCGTTCTCGCGCGCGTGTGTGTGTGTGTGTGTGTTTTTTTTTTTTAAACAACGGTGGGCGGCCGACGCGTTTCGCGAGTTGCCGCTGCTCTGTCCAGACTCCCAAGCGTGTTCAGAGACACGACAACCCTCGTTGCTTATGCTCAGCTGCAACCTAAGATGGACCGCGGCCAATCCTATGAGCCATCTTGAAAATTGAGTGCTCTGATTGTACAAAGAGTCTTCACGATCCGCGCGTCGCTGCTCAGCCGGAAATATAGGCTCCTTAGCACTGGATATGCCAGGCGAGCTGCTAGCGTTCGCTGCAGTCAACTTTAGCGTGAAACTCTGTGCAAGTGTTCTTGCTTACTTGCTTTTCTGCGAGGTCCTCGGCTCGGCGGTTTGGCTGGTTTGGATTGAAGCTAGGTTGAAGAAACCAGTGCTTGATTTTTCAACGGGGTGGATGTCCACGCAGCATATGCTCACCAGGCTACTTGAAATAAGAGGCTTCGCTGGAGGGTTCCTCTAAAAAGAAGAAAGCTACAGGTCGACTGAAGGCGTTTGGACGGAGGTCGAAATGCTCGCAGTATCGCTTCGCCCGTCAGAAGTGGCGACGAAGACATTTTAGAAGGAACAGCTCACTGTAGGAGATTTCTCCGAAGCATGGCTGCGATGTTCCATAGACACTTCCAAGATATCGTCGCCGTTAACAAAGGGCTTGGGCCAGTCAATTAGAAAGAGAAAGCGGCAACCTCTTGACACAGATGTCTTCTGTGCAGCAGTGAACACGGATCCCTGCTACCGCCTTCTTCTCATACCTAAGCAAAATTTCCGGGTCCCGTTGCATTTGGCAAAGACTTGGAGGCAAATCACAGCTTTGCAAAGCGAGCAAGATTCTACCCTTTCTTCTGAGTCTCCGGCGGCTCCAGATGATCCTGAAGACGCCCTGGAAGCGCTCCTCAAGGAAAGAGAGGTTGAGGCTGGCGTGTCCGTTCAAGGTACCAGTAGCCCACTTGATAGAGCATGGCTCCTGGAAATGCTAGACAATGAGCCGCGGCTTTCAAGGGACGTTAACGTGTTGCAGTTTTCGGCGGAAAGAAAGGAACGCTATCCAGAACTACGCATTGGCGCAAGTAGCCCTGGGAATGCCTGCGACCCAGGTGAGTGTGGAGCGAGCCCTTTATGCACTGAAGTTCATTTTATTGTCTCAGAGATGCCGTCTTTCCCCGGATATGCATGAGGACGTCCTGCTTATTTCGTCAGCTGCCTGACATTGAACTCTGCTTTCACCCACGTCACGAGGTGCCCCAGCACTAGCTCGTTCATTCCACACAGTAATGTGAGCCTTTGCATTTTATATGGGACACTTTTATAAAATATGCATATTTTATCGTTTACTGCCGTCAATTGTTTTTGTAGCATATGAGTACAAACCGGTTTGAACTGGTTCAAACCTCTATTTTTTCCCTCCGAGTCGAACCGGAGTTGAACCGTTTTCCTTGATCCGGAACGAAAACCAGAAAGAAAAACATTTAGGTTCGACACCCTGGGCCTACGTGTAAGGAATACCGACGACATGGCATGACGTCGAGACAATCGTGAGCTGCGCGCACTAATAAAGCATCTAGAAGGGGGCGGGAGTGCCATTCAACGCGTTTTCTTACGATCCCTGCCGACCGTCGCATTCGACAATGTGTGCTCTCCAAAGAGAACTTCAGGGACAACAATTCGCCGAGGCTGCTGGTAATCCTAACCGACCTTTGAGAGGAGATCTCTCAATCCTTATACGACGACCCGACGTCCGGATTCCTTGGTTACGACCAGAAACTGGCCCGTATTCGTGAGAAGTATTACTGGCCCGAACTCCTCGAAACCGTCCACCTCTACACACAATTTTGCCACGAGTGTAAGCGACGCAAAAATCCGCCGACGAAGCCGGCTAGTCTTCGGGAGCCTATGCCTCCGCCAACTGCACCGTTCCAGCAGATCGGAATGGATATACTTGGTTCTTTCCTGCAGTCAACCCTGGGAAAGCGTTGGATAATGGTAGTCGCTGAGTATCTAACCCGGTACGCCGAGACAAAATATCTTCAGTCAGTTACTGCTGTGGAACTTGCCAAGTTCTTTATCAATTTCGTCGTCCAACGACATGGCGTTTTTCAAGTCCTAATTAAGGATCGGGGGTCATCGTTCGTGGCGCAGCCGACGCAGGAAACTCTTCTTTTCAGCCAGAGCAGCGATCGTCGCCCCACGGCGTACCACGCGCAGACCAACGGGCTGGAGGAGAAACTCAGCAATACAATCGCCGACATGATCTTCATGTACTTGAAAGGAAAGCACAAGGCGTGGGACTAAGTGTTGCCCTACGCCACGGTCGCTTACAACACTGCAGTTCAAGAGACCAGCGGAGTTACACATTTACAGCTGGTATATGATCGGAAGGTAACGACGATGCTTGACTCGATGTTGCCGTACGAGCCAGCTGACTAAGGGAGCGACGACGCCCAGGTGGTAGCGCAAGGGGCCGAACAATTCCACCAGATTTCCCGCCTCTGGCTTCAAGAATAGCAACGTGTCGACGTTGGCCACTAAAACTTTTGTAGTCGCGACGTTCGCATTCAGCCCGGAGATATAGTGTGGCTCTAAGCACGCATTCGCCACCGCGGTCTCAGTGTCAAACTGTGAAAACGCTACTTCGGACCCTACAAATTGCTTCGTCGACTCGGAGATCCGAACTACGAGGTGATGCCCGACAAAACACGGACCTCATCACGCCGCCCTCCAGGACGGGAAGTCGTCCACGCCTTGCGTTTGAAACCGTACAACGTTCGACAGGAGCATTCTTCTACTAGGTTTGATAGGACCGTGTTTTACATGCCTCCGTAGTGCGCCATTATTTTTGTTTGTTTTTCTGTTTTATTTTCTGGCACGTCGCATCGAGACGACGTAGTTTTAAAAGGGGGGGGGGGGGGGGGGAGTATTGCAACGCTCGACGCCGAGCGAGCGCGTTCGTGGCCGAATGGTTAAAGCGCTTGGCTATTGCGCGGAGGCCGCAGGTTCAATTCCAGGGAGCAGACTGGTCTTGTATACATTCTTTCAATTTGAGATTCTCGAAAGTTCAAGAACCTTGTCGTCTGATCGAGTTTCGATTGTTCTACGCGCCGAACGTTCTGCGGCGAATCTCCTGGAAACCCACGGTGGCACAAACGATGCTTCGCGTAGCGGTCCGGAGTCAGTCTCGCTATTGCGTGGGAGATCGAGCTATAGGGGGCGCTTTATCGAGCTTCGTTGCGGCGTTTATCAACACAGCAACGAAGTAATTGAACCGATCTGGGCACCTGCGTGTCACTTTGATCAGTGCTTTCGTCGCACAAGGAGCGGGCTTCGAATTGTCATCTTCCATCTCTCTGATCAAAAGGAAACGAAAAAATTCGGTTTGTTTTTCCCAGAGCTGAAGCATACCGCTAGAAGTGTGGCTGTTCGATTTCCTCTCCGATCGCGATTGATCGTGCTACTCCGCCGACCTTCGACGTCTTCGACGTTACTGAAGTGAACTCTGAAGAAAGGAGCCATGGACAGCGTGTCTGGTGTGCCAACAGACTGAAGGTTTATTCGACGCTGCCGATATTTTTTATCGGCTCGGACGATCTTGGTTGATCGGCCGTGCAAAGTTTATAAAAAAACAAAAAAACTTCTTCAGCCGCAGGAGCCGCAGTGCAGTCGCAGCGTTTGCAATGTCACTCGCTCCCTAACAGTTACCTCTTTGTACTTTTGTTTTCGTTACAAGTTCGCCAAATTAAAATTCAGTTTATGTACATTCGTCTCCTCATCATCTGCCATTCATGACAATAAGACCCGTACATAAAGCTAGTAAAAGCAAGCCTTGAGATACGGATTTCAATGTGGCTAAGCAGGGAGGGTTTTAAGAGCTCCTCGTTAAGCTGTTGTAGTCACCTCTTCTAAGTTAAGCTATAAATATATCTAATCAAACCAAATTTAACATTATATAAAAAAAATTGTTTCAGTTCGTTATGCAGATTACACGCTCAAAGCAAATATTTTCGGGATTCGGAGAACCATAACTACATGGATACCGCTTGGGAAACTAATATGAAAATTAAAAAAAAAAGAAAAATAAAAGTCTAAGCTATGTGATTTTGTAAAACATCGGTTGTCCTATACCAAGGAGTGCCTTTTCTAATATACGTAGATAAGAATAGCTGTACACTACGAAATACAAAATTTACGGGCGTCCGTTCACTATGTCTGAAGCATAAAGCTTCTGCAATGACCTTAAGGAAAAACTAACTTCAGACATTGAAAGGTAAGGATGATTTAGCGGTGGAGCTCGTGAGTGAACATACTACAAAAACACGGGCGCGAGGAGACGCCAAAAAGGGGACAACAGTCAGGAGGTATGGTCTGGTGCTCGTTACCTTTTTTTGCGTCCCCTCGTCGCCGCGGTTTTTCAGTGTGTTTCAACTTCCAATACGCCCAGTTTAACATCTGCTCGTTTATGGAATACTTCAGTCTTACCACAAAGAAAATTGAATAAGCTTCCGAAAATGCAGCGGGGAGTGTCGTGTCATTACAGTGCTCGTTAAAATGACACATAGAATTATCTTTGAGGGTCTCGTTTTACACCAACAAACATTCACTCACCGATACTTCCCAGGGCTATGGGGGTCATCTTCTACATCATTTCGCAGCCTTTTTTCCCTAAATTTTTTGCACAAGTCCTAAAAAACAAATCAAAAATAAAATTAAAGACGTTCACAAGTCTCTGCAATGCCGAACTGAAGCTCAACTCTTGAGAAGGAGGGGGAAAGGGTACAGAAGGGAAAGTATGCACCTCTTCTTCCTCCCCCCCCCCCCCCTCCCCCCTCCGTACACTGCCCTTCTTCTGGCCTACTGCCCTCCCATTTAGCGGGATATTTTTGCTAATTTTCCCGCTTGATTTAGCCGGGAAATTTAGAAAAAATTTTCCACCCAAATTTGGGGGGGGGGGGGGGGGGGAGGGGGACTGAATTGCTGTTGAGGTCACGTGGCGTAAATTACCCACTAAATTTAGAAAAAAAGATTTCCCGCTAAATTTAGTGGATAAATCTTTCCGCTAAATTTAACGGACACATTTTTCTGCTAAATTCAGCGGGCAAAAGTTCTCGTTGAATAAAACGAAAAAATTATTTCGGTAAATCTAGTGAAGAGATTTTTACGCTAAATTTAGTGGGTTACGCTTTCCAAGCTAAATTCAGCGTAAAACTTTCCCCTGCTAAATCTAGCGGAAAATTTAGAGCAAAGTTCCCCATGTAAATTTAGCGGAAAAATTGTCCGCTAAATTTACCAAAAAGATTTCCCATAATGCAACACGCCCGGCTCGCCGACAGTAACATCACTCAAACCGGAAGCGGGCGCCTAAAGGAGCCCTGCAATCATAATTGAGCGTCTACCTTTTTTTTTTTTTTTTTGCGGTTTCCAAGTCTCTTGGGGTTCGGGGAAGCCAGCGGGCACGGAGAGAGTAATTAAATATCACTGCGTCACATTTTAGCCGGACGACGCGGAAACCTCCTCCACCTACGTGGACGACCCGCGTTGCCAAAAGCGCGCGATATGTGACGTTTTTGGCCCTGGGCTTACTAATGGTCAGAGCTGCTAAAAGCTTTTTTTTTTTTAGTCGAGATACAAAATATAACTACATACAAAACTTGAAAGTATAAAACAGAGAGGACGAGGACGGGAACAGGACATCTTTCATTTAGCAACAACATAGAATGGCACAACGATAAAACCGCCCCCCAAGGGTCTCAACGTTCTCAAAGAGGGAAAGGAGATAATAGTTATAAAGGAAGGGGAATACACTAAAATAAAAGTTTGAAAAGCGCGTCAGTAGTCTAGTTATTTTCGATTACTTAGAATTAACCTTGGTCATTGTCAGTGATAATGCGGAATTATTCTTGTTTGCAGTCCGAAAAGGGAATTGTACTATAAATATAAAAGTTTAAAAAGCTGTAGCGTCACGACGAGGTGTCAATATTCTAGTCATCTCTGGTGTTAAGAATTCGACCTCTGTCTTTGTCAATGATAATGACGGTGCAGAAATGTTGTTGTTAACAGTCCCCATGGCAAATGACTCGATGATTTCTCTTCCAAATCTGTTATTGTGCCCGCCCAGTATATTAGTATTAGAAAAATGAGGTGTACAGTCATCGCATGTGCGGCTGTGAACGACAATGGGGTGATACGACTCAGTTGAAGCCTTTGATGCTTCCAAGTTATGTTCTCTGAGTCGGTGGTTGACGCATCTCCCAGTCTGTCCAATGTACTGACTGCCACAGCTTAGTGGAATCGAATAAACCTTCCTTTCTTCGCATTCTACGAACTTTTTTGCATGTTTTACATTGCACCCTCGGGGACTGTCGCTCCCATTAACCTTTTTGCACATCTGTTTGAGGCGCATACGACAAGAAAAAACCATACTCGTGTCAAACTTGGACGCGATAGACCTTAAACGGTGCGCGCACCGTTTAAGGTCTATCGCGTCCAAGTTTGACACGAGTATGGTTTTTTCTTGTCGTATGCGCCTCAAACAGATGTGCAAAAAGGTTAATGGGAGCGACAGTCCCCGAGGGTGCAATGTAAAACATGCAAAAAAGTTCGTAGAATGCGAAGAAAGGAAGGTTTATTCGATTCCACTAAGCTGTGGCAGTCAGTACATTGGACAGACTGGGAGATGCGTCAACCACCGACTCAGAGAACATAACTTGGAAGCATCAAAGGCTTCAACTGAGTCGTATCACCCCATTGTCGTTCACAGCCGCACATGCGATGACTGTACACCTCATTTTTCTAATACTAATATACTGGGCGGGCACAATAACAGATTTGGAAGAGAAATCATCGAGTCATTTGCCATGGGGACTGTTAACAACAACATTTCTGCACCGTCATTATCATTGACAAAGACAGAGGTCGAATTCTTAACACCAGAGATGACTAGAATATTGACACCTCGTCGTGACGCTACAGCTTTTTAAACTTTTATATTTATAGTACAATTCCCTTTTTGGACTGCAAACAAGAATAATTCCGCATTATCACTGACAATGACCAAGGTTAATTCTAAGTAATCGAAAATAACTAGACTACTGACGCGCTTTTCAAACTTTTCTTTTAGTGTATTCCCCTTCCTTTATAACTAGTATCTCCTTTCCCTCTTTGAGAACGTTGAGACCCTTGGGGGGCGGTTTTATCGTTGTGCCATTCTATGTTGTTGCTAAATGAAAGATGTCCTGTTCCCGTCCTCGTCCTCTCTGTTTTATACTGTCAAGTTTTGTATCTATTAACCAACACGCTCGTTTTCAACTGTAACAAAATATAAGTGTCGCGAACCGTTTCAATTATGTATGAAAGTAGTTTTTCTTCAGTATTTTAGATCAGAAAAGAAACAAATGCAGTTTTTAAAGTACGGAAACAAGAAATGACTCGTCGACCTACCCGCCAAAAAGCGGCGGAAAAAAACGGCGCATACTAGAAAGGGCTTGTGGGATGAGGCGCCGACGAACGGCGAGCGTAGAGAGGCCCCGGATGTACGCGGCGGCGCTGCGGTCGTAGACCGGCTCGAGGATCGACCGGTTCCAAGCGTGCCGAATGCTTTCGGCGCGGGCTTGGCTGGCGATTTGGCCATTTGGAGGTATGGCAGCGCGAAGTGGCTCCCGTTCTGAAGTGATATTTATCCCGTGTTCGCTGTCGTTTGTGGCCAATGAAGTGCTATGCCGAATTAATCTTAAATTGCGCAGCAAAAGCAATGCCACCCGCCCTGGCCGTCCGCTTCATAGAGCCTATCCAACATGTGCTTTAGTGGCGCCCTCTCGAGCTGTCGACATGGAGTGCGGCAGCCGTGAGGGCTTGATAAGCTCACTACTCCTCCTCTGGTTCACGGCCACTCAAGCCAGGACCTACGACGTCATGAAGGAGGTTATTTTTTGCTTGTTTTTGTAATTCTAATTTGCCGATAACTTCTCAAATAAAGCGAAATTTGAAAAAAGAAAGGTTTCATCAAGTTACTGCATTTAGTGCGCTCAGGTTCGGTGCAAATTAAAAACCAGACAAAAAGTTGTTCCAGGGCCCCTTAAGGAGCTCTGCTTTAAAACGTAGCAAAAACATATAGAACATACCTTGTTCAATAGGGAGTTTTCGCAGACCGCGTTTGCTCCTCCGCTAAGCCCTCCGACACGAAGAAGCAGCTACCGCGCCTGCGCACCGATGGCCGTGACTGTAAAGTTCGGGGTGTCGCAGCGGGTTGCGGAGGGCGTTGCGGGACGGCGAAAGCGATATACGAACACTCTCTATGATATTGCGATTATTTAAATTGTATGTTGCCTGAAAAATTTCCTTTTCACTCCTGTGTTCCCAAAAGTGAGAATGTTTATTGCATCTCGTATAAATGTGTTTTATAAGGCACATTAGGCAAGTCACATGGACAGATGAGCTGAATGTTTAATGCGTCAAATCTTGTCTTTCATCAGTATGTGTTTATTGTTTTTTTATAGATCAGCACAAAATGCTAGTACACTAAAACAAAACTAATTTTGAACTTCCATTAAAAAGGCATAATAAAACGCATATGGTGTGTTTATATGTGGAGTTAACTTATACTATATTGAAATACAGGGTGCTTTTTTTAGATGCACCAAATTAGAAAAAAAAAAGGAACGTGCGATAGAGTAATTTGAGCCCTGGGGAAGTGTTAACGGACTTGGCGGCCTCTAGAATAAAAGTGAAATTAGGTAATTAGTTGGCTAATTCACTAAAATGTTTGAATTAACTTTTTGATTTTTCACTTGAGGGCACATAATGTATTCAGAGGATTGAAGATCGGCTACAGTATGGTCTCGCCGTGTCGTCAAATATGGAAAAAATATTCCTAGTAGCCGCTACGGGGTCGAAAATTGTCACTTTGATAAATGGCGTGAAACCAAAACTAAACAGGAAAGAGTGCCGGTAAAGTTATCGCTTCGCCCTTCCGGGCACGCGATTCGTCAATATCGCGGCCGGCTCGCCTAAGCAAGTGGAACCGGCCGTGATAATGACGAATCGCATGCCCGGAATGACGGACAGATAACTCTACCGGCGCTCTTTCCTGTTTAGTTTCGGTTTGACGCCACTTACCAAAGTGACATTTCTCGACCCCATAGCGCCTACTAGGAATTTTTTTTTATCCGAATTGGACAACACGGTTAGAACATACTGTGGCCGATCTTCAATCCTGTAAATGCCTTAGCTGCCCTTAAGTGAAAAAATTAAAAAGTTAGTTTAAACATTTTAGTTAATTAGCAAACTATTTACCTAATTTCACCTTTTTTATACAGGCCGCCATGGCCGCTAACATTTCCCCAGGGCTCAAATAACTGTATCTCACGTTCATTTTTTTTTTTGAAAATTTGGTGTAGATAAAAAAAAAAAAAAACGCCCTGTATATTTTGTACGCGATAGTCGCCAAACTAGGTAAAGGACCACGGCATAGTTCAACAGACTATTAAACGAAAAATACACCTAATATGTGCTAAAAGTGTTCTCAAGCTGCTTGGAGTATTCCGCACTCTACTTGTTACATACTTGAAGTTTCGTTGTTGTATTACTCCTTGCCAAGAAACAAGAAATCTAATCAAATTCGTTTTTTATTTGTTGTCACATGGCCGAAAGGGACATGACAAAAAGGGAACTCTCGCAGATAGCTGTTCAGGAGCAGCCTGACGAAGGACCCAGATCCCCATGCAGTTCGTTACAACATTCGTGAGTAAAGTGAAAGATTCTACATATATATCCTTAATTATGAAGGAAGACACAGTGTGTAAGAATCTCTGGCCTTCATATGAAAGTATGAAATGATTTCTCTTGCGGTAGAATATGTTTTTATTTCTCTTTCGACTTAACTGTAATGCCAAGGAGTTTTGCTAAAAGTCACGTTCTTCCAAGGAGTGGGTTAGAGTTTTAGAAATGTGCATCTGGATCTGGCACCAAATCCCGCCACCGAGGTTAATATTGTCGACATTTATTAAATATCATTTACTCAATGTATGAATAATATCAAAATAAAACTTACCATAGCATTCGAAAGGAAAAACAGCTGGTCTCCTGTTAAGTTTAACCCAGGAAGCACCTCTTCAGCGTCATTCAACTTTTTAAATGCCTTAAAGTGAATGGACAGCAAAGATCGATATATTAATCTTAAGCTAAATTAATTGAATGCACATCAATCCTTTATTTAACTTCTTTAAGTCTCGTACCAGATACGCTGCTTTTAGGGCAGAATTGTCGGCCATATTTTCACCCGGATTATTCATTCCGTTCAGCTGAAAAGAGAAATATGCGTTACGTCATTCGAAACGGCGTAAAATAACGTAAATATTCAATCAAAGCTTCCAAACCAGAATGCCACATATCCCCATGACTTCTATCTAATCGATTTAAACCAAAAGTGCGAGTACTGAACATCTATGACTAGGATGCACATAAGATGAGTAACGAAGCGATTTACCCGAATCTTTACTGGCTCACTTGATCATACTATACTAAATTGTATGTAAATTGAAGAAATGCAAGTGCGACAGGGGCAGTCAATAAGCAGTGGGACATAGATTCAGCATTTTATTCTTCTGTTGCTTTTTATTATATGATCAACCTTTCCGTATATTTCATTTTCAATAACGTCAGCTTTCTTCCTCTTTATATCACAAGGCTCTCTCATCCATTGAGTATGGCGATATATGTTCACATCGCCGAAGGACTAGTCTGTATCATGCATGTGCTTGATAATTTGAGGAGTTACGGGTAATTTGTGGAAATACCACAAGCTTGGAAAACTTCACTACGTTCTACGAGACAATAAATGTGGCCTACAAATCATCTCAACGTGTCGAGCATTATTTCAGAGCATTTATCCTAAGAACGTTAATTATGCAGTTATTTTCGGGTAATGGGCATATTTTTAATGTGTTTAACCAGTCAAAGATTTTGTGTAATGAAACGGATCAGCTGAGTAGTGATCACCATGCGCGTTGAAATTTAATCTCAAGTGAATGAGGAGAAGAGAGAAAATCAGTTTCGCTCTTAGTTTGTACGCACAACTAAAAATACGCTTTTCCCAACATTTGGTCTTGACTTGAAGCACGAAAGAAGAAAACACATAGGGGTGGACGCACACACACAGGACAGTTCTCGAGGCAGCAAAAAAATTGGCTTATGCTTCAAACAGGTGCGGTATTATAGAATAAAAATACCATGTGTACTATCTCGTAGATTTCTTTTGTGTAAGCTATTTTCTTAATATGGTTTCTTAAATTTCTGGCCACACGCCTCTACTTGAATCGAGCTGTGGCTTCTGCCACATAGCAATGGTTTAGTGCGGCGCAGGTAACGTTTTTTATTGTCTTGGACAACGAGTCATTTGACCTCATGTCTTACCAGATGTGCTTTGCTGTTGTAGCTTACTGTCCTGGGACACTAATTGCTCAAGAATTTATATTTCTGAAATTGTGTGACGAACTTTTACCATTTCAGAGTGCTTGTTCACAAACTTCAGCATTTTTTGTTTGTACTTTGATTTTTTTTTTTAACCGGAATATAATTTAATGAGTGAGCACGAGATCTGCCAGACCACACAGACCACTGATTTCGTCTTCTTGTTCGTTCAGGTTACTACTTGCCTCCAGTCTACGGCCCTCGTCTTTTTGCCCGGTGGTAACAGTACAACTTTGGATCACAATCACTTCAATCTTCAAGGTGAGGCGTATGGACACCGAGGTGACAAGACATATCTGCCGGGTAACCTACCATTGAGCGCCACCAACGGCAACATCAGCGGCTTCGATGGCGCCCTATGCGAACGCCTTTATATACGACTGCCATCGCTGTCCAGCCTTGAGTGAGCACGAAATCTGCCTGGACATGTAGACCACTCATTGCGCCTTCTTGTTCGTTCAGGTTGGTTTAAGTCTCGCGTTAAACGCGAAAAACAAGCAATTTGCCTTACTGGTGCTTTAGTGCTCACATGTGTTTTCTAAAACTATGTGTAACTGTGCTGAAAAAAAATTGGGTTGTACGTATGTTTATACAGCCTAGAATTTGGTCTGCCTCAACGGGTGACGAGTCTCCCAGCTGTAGAGGAGCAATTTAGCCAGTGCCGTACAACCGCTAGCCTGGGGTCTTTAACGTGCATCACGCAGTAGTGGTACACGACCGCAAGCCGGTACGATGCTCATCCAGATCGAAACGGGCAGGGGTGGGGATTGAACTTAGGATCTTTGTGTAATGCAGCGCGGGCTTTCGCTCCACGTGCTCCAAGCTGGTGTTCGCTAGCCCACTCAGGCACCGATTCCCCAACTGTGCTGATGTGGTGGAAACTTTATAGTTTCAGGTGGCGGGTCTAGTCCAGGTGCGATGAGTGGAGCTAAACTTGAAAAGAATAAATGAAAGGCACGATACGCTAAATATAGTCTGTGAAAGCTCTCTTGTAAACGCTCAAACTCAGGTGGGAATAGTGACGTCATTTAAAGAAGTCAAAGAAAGCCATGAGTGAATAAGTACCACCAAACGGATATTAAGAGAGATTTGCTGAGGTACAAAATGAAACTTCTACCGTGACGCTGCTTAACGAAGAGGTTGGCGTCACGAAGTTTGATATAAGTTTTTCAGAAACATAACTTGAATCTACGTACACGTCTGGAAGAAGCAGAAGCCTGTTCTCGCCGTCATAATTTAGTTTTGCACAAGATTGCTGATACACTACCTGAAACCTTGGCACAAACAGACGAAATGGTAAAACTTATTTTGGCGGTCACTAAAGGTCCATGTATCGGAGGAAGTGATTATAAGGACCCAAATAATCGGCGCTTACTGTAAGAGTAAGTGTCTACCTGTTATGGTAACGTTTGCATCATACTAACAAACTAAAAGACAAGATGTTACTCTCCGGATTGTCGCTAAAATCTATTCGTGTCAACACTAGTGTAGATATTTCGCTAAGCACGCGTCAGGCACGTAAGAATCTAATATAATTTGCAAAAGTAAGAAATTACGTTTTAGAGCTATGATACAATAAATTCAAAGTAACAATAGATGCTTCATTTACAACCCGGTGCTCAATAAGTTTCTTAAAAGACTGTCCCATTGCAACATAAGGAGTTGCAGATACACATATTTCCCCTCCTTTTAGTAACCCATCTCAGGCGTCGGGATCGAATTAACAGACCGCGACGGATAGTGCTTCTGTTTTACTCATCTCAAATGTATCAGTCATTTTCACTAATATGAGAAGCATTGTTAAAAAACGAGGTGAATTATGTTCAATCGTTTAATTTACTAAACATGATATTATTGTTTTGGCAGATACTTGACTTTCTGCGAAGGTGCTCGACTGTGAACTATTTAATGGACTAAGAAACTATAATATCTATAGAAACGACAGGCCGGAGAGGAGTGGTGGCGGTGTATGAATTGCAGTAGCTAATCATGTGAAATGATTTTGTGTAAATACAACTAGCTTTCTATAGTCCGTTGCAACCCAAGAACGAAGGGCGAGGGTAAGACGGGCCGGGGAGGAGGAAGCAGACAGGACGCTAAGAAGAGAAGGAGGTTTCCCCCACTCTTCACCAGCGTTCCGTCTGCTTCCTCCTCCCCGGCCCGTCTTATCCTCGCCCTTCGTTCTTAAGTTGCAACGGACTATAGAAATAATTTGGCTGTGTGTTGGTCCTAACCACAATTAATGAATTTTAGGATAATTTAAGGCAAACCCCTGAGACTGGGGAAAGACGAAGGGCAACACAACACACGTTAATTCTATATCATACAAGCTCCGTCCCATCATGCTTTCCTCTTCTGTGTGTTGTGCTGTCCCCAGTCTCGGGGGCTTGTCTAATTGATTTTAAACCTTCATCTGCTCGTTTTCGCACAAACGTTTTTTTTCGTGGATTTTGGGAGTTTACTGCAGATCACCCTCTCACTTATCTATATTCATTAAAGCTATGCATGACTCATTAAGTACCGTATTTACGAGATTTCCCAGTTCCCCGATATTTACTTCAGGTGAGTGACTTCAATTATCCTTCTTTTGTGTGGACAAACGCTCATCCATCTACCACCACATCTTCATCCGAATATTGCCACGCGCGTCGGCGAGGGACCGCGTGCGTGGCCAAGTGGTTAACGCGCTTGACTGTTACGCGGAAAGTCAAGATTCGATTCCAGAACGTTCTTTTATTTATTATTCCAACATTGCGTTCTCATGAGTTTGAGAACATCCTCGTTTGATCGAGTTCCGAATGCTCTGGTTGCCGAACCTTTTAGGCTGATTGTTCCAGAAGCCAACGCGAAGGGGCTCGTTATGGAGATCTGTGGTCAGTATCGCCCCAGCGGACGATCCTGCTGTTACGTCGACATCGACGCCCGTGACGCTCTACTGTTATCTTTTGATTACTTTTGTTTTTGGGACAAGTTCGCCCCATTAAACGTTAAGTTTATTCAGTTATCACTCATTGTCATTCATGACATTTTAGTGGAAGTGCCGGGTACTGAATTTTATACCCGTTGAGCGTACCCCTCCGAAGGCATCCCGGCCACGCGACCTGCTCAGCCTCGGAAGGCTACCCTTCGCGGAAGAAGCCGAAGCCCGAAGAAGCCGTCGCAAGAGAGGTCAACCCCCGAATGGGATCTCTTGCGCGAGAACCGTAGAAAGAAGGTACCGACGATGACCACCCCGGCCGTTGTCGTCCTGCTCGTCGCTCCGCGGACACCTGCTCCCTTTCTCGGTGAGACCTATGAGGACGTTGAAGACTGGGTCAACCAGTACGATCACGTGGCCTGCCACAGCGGTTGGAGTGACGAGCAGCGCCAGCAGAACCTATACTTCTCGCTTGAAGGCATTGCAAGGCACTGGTTCCAAAACCACGAGGTCTCCCTCACTTCGTGCGACCGTTGCAAGAACGAGCTGACGCGCAAATTCGCCAGTAAACACCGAAGAGAGAGGGCCGAAGATCTGCAATTGAGCACCAATGGCCCCAGTGAGAGCGCCACGAGTTTTGTGCAAGACGTCCTGTGCCTGAGCTCCCGCGCCGACCGTCAGACCCCCGAGGGAGAAAAGCTGTGTATTCTGATGCGTGGCGTGAAGGACGACATCTTCGGTGGACTCGTACGGAACCCACCAACGACCGCTCACGAATTCGTCACGGAGGCGACGAACAGGGAGCGCGCCATCCTTGGGCAAGCCACTGCCATCGGCACTCGGGCGTCGCTCCTTCTGCTGCAAGGGCCTACGACATCAGCTCTTGCATTCCCGGCATTCGCGACAATATTCGTG